TAGTTTCTCTTTCTGCTCTGCAGGCAGATCATTCTCTTTTAGCAGCTGGAGTAATTTGCAGATACAGTGTGAAGCAGACAGAACAAGGTTCCTCAGTTACTGGGGCATAAACAACAACCAAAAAAATACACTGTCATAAGAAAAATCTTAACTCTGCAAGTGCCAGACTGTTTTCTTACTTGAAGTAGAATTACAGGCTATCCATCCACTGTTTTAAAGCATGTGAAGCATTTAAATGAAATTTCAAAATTGCTCTAAATTTGACCCTCATCTAATTTTGATTTTTACCAAGTATTTTAAGCAATTTGGAATGATTAAAAATTTACACTGGAATACTAAGTGGCTCAAAGGAACAAGTCTTCTAACTCCCATCAAACTCAGATACATAATTCCCACAGGTGCCTTTGAAAATCCCAGTTTTTAATGTTGTTGTCCATTGGATAAACAGCTCAAACATCACTGGCTTTTTGCACAAAGCATCTGCCTGAAATAATTTATGAAAATCATAAAATTGATTTAAGTTCTTCTCAGTGCTCCATAAATTTTATGTAGCCCTTAAATTATAAAGCTGCTGCTGCTGCTGCTGCTGCTGCTGCAGCACTCATCAGAACAATGCTTAATCTCTTCTCTCAAGATACTTGGCATGTCAGAGGAGAAAAGAAGGGACTCGGGCAGCTGAATTGTTTGTTTCAATTTAACAGGGCAGAATAAAACAGCCTAGATGCCAGGGCTCTAGTCCCAGTGAGACTGCATGCATCAAGGTTTTATTGCAAAAATAAGTTGTTGCAACCTTCCCCTGCCTTTCCTTGGTTTTAAAACAGAAAATAGCTTTCATTGATTTCACAGGGATTCTTTTTGCACACATCATCAGGTTTGTGATATCTGAGATGTTCCCTGTCTAATTTATAACCAATGTGTTCTAGTTCTGATGTACGACAATAAAATTCTGCATCTGTCCAATTACACATCGGTGTAAAAATGCTGTGCAAAACTCACTTCATCCTTATCAGATAGTCTCTCTCTCAGCAACTAAGCTGTGTCAGAACAGGTAGGGATTTTTCTTTTACTAGGGTTTTTTCTTCTACTAAAATCAGAGATTTTAGGACTATTCAATTTCTTAATCTCTTACCTTCTTCAGCAAAGATTGAAAGCATTTTTGGAGCTGTATGAAAAACAAGGTCAAAATAAAGTCCTAGCATAGAGTAACTATGATTGAATGGACTCCTTTACTCTTAAATTTTACTTGGTAAAAAAGTGCAGACTTCTTTATTATGATTTTGGCTTGTGCTAGCTGACTCAGATTAACAGTATGCTGCTTTTTCTGGCTAAGTCTCATCTGGAGTTGCCCAGTCTTCAGAGGCAGAGTGGTCTGGACTTTATTAGACTTTCTATTTTCAGTGTTTCATCCTGGGGATCCAGAGTCAGCAGCTGCTATAGTCTTTTCCTTAGCACTGACTTTCCAGCTCTCTCCACTCTCCTGGTAACATTCCCTCATCTGTCATTCAGACAGTCGTCATCTTTAAGGGATGCATTTCAACCTTTCTGTACTCACGCTTTTCTCCCACGTAACCCTGTGAGTTTCATCCTTCCTCATAGGCTGTTTTTGCTCAGAGGTATACAAACCATCTGTGCCTCTAATACAATGTTCTTAAATAGCCTCCAGGCAGATCTCTATGGTTTTTAAGTACTTCTCTTTGCCCTTCAGCCTGCTGTTAACCATTTTCCTCATAGTTTTATAATCTGCCCTTTTAAAGTTCGTTGTTACTGTGCTGTCCCTAAGGGAACAACTCTTTCATGATATCAAAACTAAAAGTGTGCAGTGATCACCGTTATCCTACAGAGGCTTGACAACACCTTCCTCTAATAACTTCTGCCTCTTACAAGGTAGCTCCCTCTTGCCCACGGCCTTAACTAATCAGGCATGGCACTGAGGACTGCCACCAGAGTCAAGGAAAAGGAACCCTTTGCCATATGGATTGGAATGGCACCAAAGCCACTTCTGATAAGAGGGAAAGAACTGCTTTACCAGCTGTTGCTTTACCTTCAACAAAAAATTTGTTAACAGTGAGGTAAATAACAGTAAAATTCAATTTTGTGTCATTTTCCTGACTGGTCCCATTCGTTTCTCCCAGGAGGAAGTTACTTCCCAGGGGCTGGCTCTGAGATTTATAGGTTCTTAATACCTTGAGGAAGTCTACAGGAGGTTGCAGTCACATATAACCCTATGGTGTGTCTCCCTTGGTTTTAATGGCTATCTTTGTGACTGCTGCCTGTGAAATGTTCTCAAGGAAGTGGGGTAGAAGGGAAGGTCTACAACATGAAAAATGTCTTTGCAGATTAGCACCTTGCTCTAGGAATGGTAATAAAGGCATGACACTGAAGAGGCAGCTGATACACCAACCTTTCTGCTTGCTGAATGCACAAAGGATTGATTTATGGCATCTTGCCACAGGAGAGGCCTATAGGTTATTAACCAACTTCAATGGACAAACACTTGCTGAGGCTGCACATCATACCTCTTGTGCTGCTCAAAAGGTAATGACTCATCTGCAGGCGAGCCTGATGTCCTTGAGAACGCAGTTGGCTCTGCACAGCCAACTGAAGCATTACTTAGTTAATACACTACAGCATAAGGGAAACAATCAGCTGAAACGATGACATTGCTGCTTCCTGCTTCATTTTAAATCTGCAGCTTTCTAACAGGATTATATACTGAAGCACTGTAAAAAAGGACATTAAGTCCTGTGATGAAACTTAAAAAATGTGTAATTAAAACTGCTAAATACAGGCGTTTTCTTACAGGCTCAGTGTCTGCAAAACACAGCCTTTGATCCTCCAAATGATATTTCTAGGAAAAGTGCTGGACAAAAAAAATATCAGAATAGAATTCTTACTCATCCCTTCCTCTTTAGGCCAATGAAATGAACTTTTGCAGTACAACAAATCTGCTTGTATTTCAGAAATACAACCAAAGGTATGAACTCCTGGGCCACCTACCCACGTGTGCATTTTCTTGCTCATTCTATCAAGAATGTAGCATTTTTGGTGATTCACCTTGATTCCTATCATTTAGAGAAAGATCCTGGATCTTCAAAAGAAATTAAGGTGACAGAGCATCTCACCTTTCCTACTCGCATCCAAGCACCTTTGCAGTGTAAAAAGCCTCCATTAGATGCATCTGTTCCTGCAATGCTACTACAGTTCACCAGATTTGTTATACCTTACTGCTCAGCTAACACCATCAATAAATGTTTTAGTCTCAATCAATTGGGAAATTTCAAGTATTTTATTAATAGAAGCTGTACAAAATTCCCATGTGAGGTAACAGGACACATCTGACCAAGATTCCTGTATTGGGTAACAAGCCTTAGCTACTCTCACCTTGCTCCTCCAGCACTGCTCTCACATTTAACTGGACAAACTCCATGAGAAAATAAATGCATATACATTCTCTACTACAGGAGGGGAAAAGGACTGGGACTGGGAGCAAGCAAGAGAGAAGGAAAATTTGGGAAAATTGTCCTTTCCTGTCCTAGCCTCATGTTCCATGTACTTCCCTTTTGCCTTCCCCTTTATAAGAAAGTTGTTGTTATTATTTTCCCATGGCCCATTAGGACAGGTGATTGCTTAAGCATTTCACATTTCTTTCCAAATGAACAAATAATTGTTCTTTTAAATCATGGGTTCCATGGGGAGTTGATAGTGTGTGTGTTTTTCCTGGTGTGTCATGGTAAAAACACTGAATTTTTACATGACTACCTGATTAAAATGCTTTTGTGCATCACTCACACCCCTTAATAAATCTATTCAATTAGCTATTGTTAGGTGAACTGGGAGTGAAATACAATGAATACAAAGGTCTCCTCCCGGTCAGAGCACTACAAATCAGTCGGAATAAAGGGAAGAAACTGGGTTTCCGCATCCACCTTTTTTTCCCCTGCTGTGTTGCCTAAACAACATACCTTTCAATTTATTATTTCCAAGTAAACTCAATTTATTTGCATTCCAGACATCTGTCATGAGGTTGTAGAGCTAGAAGCATGACTAAGGAAAAGTACTGCACTCCATACTGTAAGGTAACCCTCACTTTACTGGAATTCAGTCTCCCAAGTGCTTCACTAAAAATGGTGACTTTTGCTTGAATGCAAAACTATCCAGAATCAAACAAGATCTCAATCTTATTTAGAACAGGCCAGATCAGCTGCGTATTTGTGAGAGTTTCTCTAATTTTTAGGTAAAACCAAATGCCCTCTGGTCCTTGGCAAGCACTTATCTCAACAGCCATGCCTCCTAAACTGCCTCACAGCTCAAGTCATGAGCTTCCAGGTTGTGCAAGAAAAATGTAAGCAAATGTATTTCTGTGCTGACAAAACAGAACCTGAAAAGTTTAAGTAAGGAGCCAGTGGTTAATTCATTCTTTTAGATGAGTCTCAGCAAGTCATAGTATCTACTCCATTGCTGACATATGCCCTAATATTCCTTTTGTATTCTGGAATGCTACAAGATTACTCATGGGTGTGTATGTGTATATATATATTTTAATTAATTCCAATAAGTTTTAAGTATACAAAATAAAAGGGAATACTAATCCCTGAGAAGCTTTGGTTCTGTACTTCTTTAAATTTCTTAATCTTTTATATAGAATGCAGACAAATTACTTATTTACAAATGCAGCACATTCTCATGGGAATAATCAGATTGTCACACAGCACCTCTGTCACAATTCTAATATGAGACCAGTGCAACAAGACTTTAATATCCATTTACAGGTCTGGTTTCAATTTTTGCAAAGGACAGCAGATCTATTAATTTTCAAAATCAGGGTAACATGTACTCACACAAACAGTGTGAAACAGTGTGCAGACTTGCATCTGATGTTATGCTGCAGGAAGCTGGTGTGTAGGGAGACAGGCAGCAGGTACAGGAGGCTCTAATATCAGGAGGTAAAAAAAAAACTCATTTCATGTACCGAAGTTTTTATTAAAATATCTTTGGACCACTTAAAAGAAAACATAATTTATTGTTTACTACCAGATGAACAAACTAAAACCAGCTGTTTCACACAGCAACTTGAAATTTGCTCCTCGATGAAGCTTTATAGGCCAAATAATTTCAAATGTCCTGTCATGCAGCAGAACTAGTTTCATATGGTTACAGAAGACACCATACACCCAATATAATTTCAAAGTCGTAAGTCACATTCCCATCACCTTGTTCTCCCAAATCCCATCAGCTCTCAGTGTGGTTTCTGTCCTGTTACAGGAAAGGTGTTGAAATGATCACTTTCTTTCTTTCTGCTCATCTGCCCAAGATTATTACTCTCCCTTCAAGACCCAGGGGTCAGAACCAGAGGGTCTTGCCCCAGGTTTGTGGAGGCAGGGGACACAAGGATCCCATTAAAAGCAGGACAACACTGACACAGGCCTCTCTTTTGTTCCCACTAGCTACTGAGAAGCTGAGGCAGTGCAAGGCAGAAGCTCCCATTTGTTCTGGTCTCTGGGCCAGGGAGGATTTTCTCTTCAGACCTTTTTTCCTTTCTTCCTTTTTCATTGCTGTCACCCAGGATGACCAGCCATGGCACCACAGCTGGAAAAAGAAACAGCCCCTGCTCCATACGGTCACTCCAGCCCCCACAGCAGCCCTCAGCTAAAGAAGAAGGGCGGAGAGTCCAGGCTGCCCCAGGCATCTGCCTGTCATTTTCTGCTGAGGAGGAGGCCAAGTCCCTCCATGAGTTCCAGCCACTGACCAGTTCCAGCTGCCACTGTTGATGGAGCAGCTGCCACTGCCAGGAGAGAGACCCTGCTGGGTGATGTGGAGCAAATGGATCAGCAGCATTTGACTGTTTTGGAGTCCAGATTTCTTCATATTATGTCCTTGTTCATCATTGGTTGCTGTTTGGTGGAAGACAGACTTCTATAATCAGAGAATTTCAGATGCTGTGATGGTATTTTTCCCTTTGTTCTCTCTCCACCACATGGTCAGGAGAAGGGGTTTCTCCACCAGCTTGTCTTTGTCCCCTGGATCACGTGGTCTATGGAGGCCAACATTTTTGGAGAGGGGTTTCTCTGCCATCTTGTTGTCTTTGTTCCCAAGCAGTCCATAGGATTCAGCACCTTTTTATCTGATGATTACTGTTATCCTTCAGTTGCTGTTTCATTTTTTACTAAAATGTTATTTTTTCACTTAAATGTTCTTGCTTTCATCTCTGCTTATTGGTGAAAGGGAAGCAGTTAAAACTAAAAGGGGCAGTAACTCATTTTGGAGTGTCTGCCCTGGAAACTGTCTTAAACCAAGACACACACAGCTATAGTGTTGCTTGGCTTAAATTCCCTATTTACAATTTCCCCCCTACTAAATTAATGCTTTTCCACAGCTTAAAGGTAAGATTTTTTAAACAAGCTGAGATCTCAACTTATTATGAGAACATAAGTAGTCAACTGGAATAAATATACTAAAAAAACCAACCCCAAAACACCACCAAATCACTGAGTCCATCAGTGTGAAAACCAAAGTGCACAATCTCCAATGGTTTCTTTAGCATTAGTTGATACCATCAACTAGAATAAAAATCGCTGTACCTTGCTATCACAACCAATTCAAATGAATTTGAATTTCTTAGACTGCATTCACCAAAGACAGGATCAAGACTACATGACTTCAGCAACTGCAGCCTCATTTACTGCAAGGCTCTGCAAAGAGCTAATCTTGCAAATCACAAATGCAAAGGTTGTGCAAACTTTTGTTAAGCTGTGAGACAGAAAATTTCAGTCTCTGTTTCATAGCAATGAAGTGTCTCTTGAATGTCAGTAATATGTTAATATGTAACATAAACCAGCTGACTGGGGATACCAGGATCATAAAGTCACCTCAGGACAACAAGGTAAAAACCACACAACTGTTAACTAAGGCTATTCAATATAGAAGAAATACATTTTAGTAATGGAGGGCATTTTAAAATTGATTGAAAATTCATAAGCTGAACATATACAGGTATATTTTGCTACACATTTGTGACCTCAAATAGCTTTTACATACATGGTTAAACTCTCTTTTAAAATAAAGACATGACAGACAGTTCCAACTTACTGGAAAGAAAAGACTTAGCTCTTGCTACTCAAGACATCATGCTTCAATTTCTAAAAGCCCTCAGTGTTATTCAGGTCTCCAGAGAGGCAAGTGAAGCATAAAAAAATACAACCCCTAATCATCATTTTCCTCATCATCAAATGAGAGAAGACTGCTGTTTTTTACTTGCTTGGCTGTACTCTGAGATGTAGTTGCTTCCTTCTTCGTCTTCTTTGCTTCTTTCATCTTCTTACTTGAACTTACATTGAAGTCCAAACACTTCTCTGATGAACGTTTGGCTGGTTTCCTGAACATAATTTTTCCATCAGCAGGTTCTGGTTCATCATCTGTAACAAAGAGAGTAAAGTCAGAACTCATATGCACATGTTCACAAACACATACAGACCTTGAACCAAAATCAGTGGGACCTCTGGGAGAATACAACAATCATGAAGATGTACTTTTTGGCCATAAACTGTATCAATGAATGTCCTCCCTGTACATGCACCTGCTCCACGGCAGCCAGCCCTTGAAGACAATCCTCCTGCAGTTCCTATTGGAAATGGGGTTTCATTAACTAGAGCTCTAACTCAGAAGAGACTGTGAGCAGTAGAGCTTTTGCTGCACATTCTTTTCACATCCACTTACCAAAACAGAGGACAACTTCATAGGATCCTCTCACTCTGCTTCAGTATTTGTAAAATTCGTGACAACAAATGCCCTTATTTCAGAATTATGGCATCTCTTTAAATAACGAAATGGCACGTATACAAGAAAAACTTTTTTTTCCCTAATATATTCTGTCCTGCTGAGACAGTTGAAAAGATCATGTGGTAATAAACCTCCCCTTTATTATCATAATGGATGAAAGTTTCAGGGTTTCTTTGTATCCACAAAATCATCCAACTATTCCAACTGACTAATTTTGCTCTAATACAAGCAGAGGAGCAGACAACAATCCTGAAAACAAGAGAAGTCCCTTCCATGATTATCAGGCAGAGTGGGAAAGCTCCTGCTTAAGTAACAGAATCAGGGCAGTATTTCTGAAAGATAAAGTATAATTGTAAAGTCATGAATCAGACACAAAGGTTCATGCTGCAGTTTGCAATTTTTATAATGTCTATGTGACAGAATGTTAAGAAGCCATAGGTTCTATGCAAGATATTTTTCCTAAATTACTTTTGTGAAATTCATTACTCAACAGAAATGTGTTGGACAAGATTATGTGCTATTTAATTATAACCAATAAATAACTTTTCTCTTTAGCTAAAATTCTTTCCTTAGTACATCAGCACTACCGCAGAAGACTTAACATTTCAGTGTTATCTACACAGCACTGGCTGAAACTCTCTTCAGTGCATTCTCGAAACAATACAGCTAAAAAACCTGGTATCTTTAGGGTTGTGTGGTACAAATGAAGACATCAACTTCAGCGGGAAATTTCACATAGAATGCCTTAAGTTTCAGAGACCCTCTTAAAGAAGAAACCTAGCTTGAAAAATGAGGCACCAATTCTGTCAATGGCTTCTATGGAACGCATACTTCCAAAAGGTGCATATGGTGATGAGCAGGAGCACAAGTCTTATTGAGAAGCAGCTGAGAGACCCAGGGTTGTCTAGACTGGAGAAAAGGACCTCAGGGGAGACCTCATCTCTCTGCAACTGCCTGAAAGGAGGTTGTAGTGAGGTAGGCATCAGTCTCTTCTCCCAGGTAATAGGACAAGAAATGGCCACGTGGGGAAATCTAGATTGCATACCAGGAAAAATTTCTTCACTGTGAGAGTAGTGAGGCATTGGAGCAAGTTGTCCATAGTGAAAACACCATCCCTTGCAGCGTTCAAAGAACACGTGGCACTTCAGAACATAGTTTAATGGCAACAAAGCAGTGCAAGGTTAGTAAGTGGGGCTTCATATGGATCTAAAGGTCTTTTCCAAACCAAACAATTCCTTGATTTTATGAGTCTACCCTAGTTTATGAGAAAATACTACTATGCAAAAAATAACTAACTAGGTTTGGGGAGAAATACTTCAGACTTAGCACATTAGAAAAGCAGTGCAGTTACAAGGAGTTGGCAGCCGTAATAAACTGTAGATATGAAAAGGACAGCTCTCAATGGATCCATTGTGAACTCTGCACAGAAAGCTTAGGTATTTAGATGCTGTACATGCAATATAGAAGTTTGGGAAGTGCCTACAGTAAATTTTGGGATGGAAATAGAACTCCTGAAAGCATATCACACCTAATGAATCAGAATACACTATGCATCATTTTTCTCAGAACCTGGGCCTCCATTTTTGGGCTCAGAAGTTTAACAGCAAATATTTTTCCTTACTAATTGTTGCATTAACTACAATGTTTATTTGAAAACACAGATATTCTAATTTAAAAAAGATCTGAGGCACAGTATAAGCCAAATTCTGAAAAAAAACCAAAAAACAACCAACAAACCAAACGAAAAACAACTTATAAGAACTTCCTTTATGTGCAGACACAGCTATCTGTGTACTGGAGCCAGTTGGAATGACAACTGTATCCAGTAGCCATATCACTATGGAAATGACACAACCAGCTACTGGATAAGCATGAGGAGCAAAAAAATCAAACCCCATTGAACACTCTATACCAAACAGATTACTGCATTTTCTTAGAGTGTTAAGTTTAAAAACCTAACCCCTCAAAAATGTAGTTCAAAGCATATCCATAAAAGAAAACAGATAAACAGCTATGTATTTGTAATCCATGGAAACACAGAGAACAGGAATTTTAATTTTACTCACAACTGTCCTGTTACCCACAGAAAATAATTTCATTTTGCCAACCAGATGTAAAGACTGAAAAGTATCTTTGCAATATGAATTTAAACATGCAGTAAGCTAAGGGCACAAACAGCAAAGCTCAAAAACTCCACCAAAATGGTAACTAGCTCAGCTCTGACCTCCAGGGCTACAACACTATTCACAGGTCATTCTGCTTCAAAGGAAATTATTTTAGCTCTTGGCCTGGTTAAACACTGTCAAAATTTCATTATATGCTCAAGGACATTCCTTTCAGCTGGAAGCCCAGACCAGATTCAGAGAGCAGTGTGTGTAGGCAGTGTTTGACAAAGAATGAAGCAGATGAGGAAACACAGTAGGCCTAGCCTTACCTTACCTACATGTGGAGAGAGTGAGGACAGACTACGCTTTCTGAAAGAATTTGATATAGCAGTTCAAGAATTTTGTGTTGATTTGTTAAGATTGTCTTTTCCAGCTGGTAAAAAGACTTCACTTTATCCTTTGTAATTTTACCAGGTTCTTATGTGTCAGTTCTCTTTTTTGTTTGTATCAAAGACCTACAAAAAACTGGCTTGTATTAAGCAATAAAAAAAACCAAAAAAATAAAAAGACTAAAGAAACAATCTCAGTGTTGGAAGTTTTTAAAACAGAGTCCTAATAAAAGACTCTGTTAGTATTACAAATTATGGAAAGCGTGATTTCTGGTAAGCACACTGAAATAAACAAAGTAAAATACATAAAATACATAAAAGCACAACAAATAATAAATTCCACTTCTGACAAATGAGTCGAAAAACTACACTAGCAGTTCAAATTCCCACTGTTCTTAGTCATTGCTGCTATTTACCTGGATTACACTTTTACACTAGTTGACCAACACAAACCAGTCAGATGTTGAGCTGAAAACTCACATCACAAGTGACATCAATTTAAGAAACCACAAAGTCAGAAATTTCTTCTTTTCTTTTAATTTCAATTTATACATTACAATAAGAGCAGAAATGAGGGTCTGAAAAAGAAATGCTGCTCTTCAGTTTAGAGGGTTTTTTATTTAATAGTCATTTGTGTAGTCAGCAGCACCACTTCTCAGCAGTTTCTGTCCACATGGGTCAATGAGGCAACAACAGGAAATACAAATACCACTAAACTGTCAGGAACAATCAAGCCCATATATATCTATTCAAAGATAGAAGGTTAGGAAAAAAATTACAATAACCTGGCAAATTTCTTAATGGTTTCTAAGGTTAGAAGTTCATGTCAGCCCCTTCAGATGCTCCTTCCAGTGCCTTCTAGCCATCCATTCTCTATGCATGCCTTTGGAAGCATTCACTCCAAGAACTCGGCACACTGGTGGTTTGAAGGTAAGAAGGCCACTCTTGCTCTGTAGTCAGTCTCAACTGTTTATAAGAACACTTTTCCTTCCTTAAATACAGCAAAGTTAGCTTTGATTTAGGTTCCTGCTATTTCACATATGATGAAGAGCAGCATTACCTGTGAGATGTATCTGACAGAACAGCTGCTTAAATCAGAATAGCCTGTGCTTATTCAGAAAGGGCTCCAATAGCCAAGACAGCAAGGACTCCTTGTCTCTTCCCTCTACTGTCCTTCCCCAGAACCCAGCATGTAGAATGAAACAAGAAAAACATTATAAGGCTTTGAACAAGAAAGGACACCTTTTGCCAAATTTGGTCATTTGCATGTCAGATTGTCCCAGAGGCCATATGAAGTAGATAAGCAGTAGAAAACAAAATCTATTTCAGACTGTAACAAATTCTGGGATATCTTGCAGTAATTCACATATTTTCTTTTGTGCAAATTTAATTTTTCATAAGACCATTTTTCTTTGTCTCTGAACCAACACTGACAATTTTTTTAATGATCCATAAAACATGAAGCAAAATCAGTGTTGATAAACAAACTACTTTTTAAAAAGCTTCTGAGTCTCTGCTCCATGGAGAAAAATATTTCAATATAGAAGGGCATCTTTTTATATAAGAAAGGTTTGGTCCTAAATTAAAAAAGATCCCTGTGGCTCTACTTGCAAAAGCCAACAGAAAAGCTAAGATTTGTTCTGCCTTAGGAAGCAACTAAATGCAGCTAGGACATTAATCAGCTGGTTTTACCAGATGAATGCAAAAATGTGCATCTATAGAAGAAAATGCAAGTCATGGGAACATCTGGTGTCTAAAATTAAAAATGAACAAAACCAAAACAAACAAAAACTGTAGCCAGCTCAAAATGGTTATAGAAGAAAACAAAGGAGAAAGTATGTAAATGAGATATGGAAAATTCTAGTATTATCACAATCCTAAATCTGAAGACAAGGTCCTTCAAATGAAGACAATCACTACAAATATAAAAGAGAAGAGGGCAGAAGCTCAAAACTGAGTACTTGCCATGTTTTAAAAAACTGTTTGTACCCACAACAGACAGTTAGTAGCACATTTCTTAGGTTCCATCAAAGTGCCTCAGCATTGATGCATGCTGGAAAGTAAGATTATCAGCTGGGAAATTTACTTTCCTATTACCTTTTTAACTTCATGCAATTTCACTAATGATCTGATTTGGGACTCTGTAGTAAGGTCTAGTAGCCATTAAATAATCTGACTTTCAACTCTGGGATTAAAATCAAAGCAACATGAAATGCAACCAAGTCATGAAGCACCAAACTTTTTTTATACTTCTTATTCTCAGAACTGACAGCCAAAATAATAAAAGAAATTCACATGTTACTCAAAACTCTCTTTATTAAACTGGGGTAAACAGCTATCTAAATACCTGCCTCAGACTAGAAATCAAAATTTAAATCTAGGTCAGACTGACAGTGCAAAAATGGCCCAAAATGCATAGAAGCCTCCAGCAAGTTGTAGCACAGTCATACACACCTCCCTTCATTGAAAATTTCACACTGGCTTCTCTCCACAGCAGAGGAACACAGTAGCACTTACCCTGTTTATTCCCATAAGCCATAAAAAGAAAAAGGACATGAAGACCTCGTATTAACTGCAAAGGCAGATGAATGAACAGTAACACAATAATGCAGAACAGAGGGCAGCAGTCCCCAACACTCCTGCTACCTATTTCTGTGGATTTTTTCCTCCAAATTCAAGTTATTACTGAAGGGCTGAAGGGGTAATAAGCAGAGGTGACTAAGTCCTACAGGGACTCAATACTGCCATCCTCACTACATACAATTATGTCTTAGGAATGTCTTTTTCCACCAAATAAGTTCAGTCACTCTATTCAAATACACTTCCATTTCACACTGTGTATTCAGCTTGGTAGCTCTTTTGGACTTTTTTCACAGCATGGACTCCACCTCAATAGATTCTCATGGACAACTACTTCTTTTTGCCCAGCCTTACAAAATCATTTTTCCCCCTACTGTGATCACTCAAAGTTCAAGTTGCTTATATGAAAAGGAAGTCAATGCTCAGAAAGAACCATGACATTTCTTTCCAATAAGTTGAAACTTCTCCCAATACTAGGAGGGTGAAAAGAAATTTTGTGAGGACTTTAGAAACTGCGACACCAAGCATCTGTATGCATTACACTTCAATAACAAGACACCAGAAGTAAGCCCAAAACTGAGCATATATTCTCAGAGGAGTTCAAGTCATATACCTGCTCAGACCTAACAAATACGTATCTACCTGCAGAAAATAGGATGTAGTTTATTTAGTTTCAAGCTAACTTATGTTATTAAAAATCAAGATTTCTCAACAATCTGCTTTTCAAAAATTATAAGATTCTCAACATATTTTCTCCCACTTCTGTTACTGACTCCTCCATTTAGACCATTTGGATTTTAACACATATGTCTACACAGAGACAGCATAAACCTGAATTTTCAAATCCAAATGGCAGACAAAGAGAGAAGCTAAGCATGTCATATCAGCAGCCATGTGCTAGGTCTCAAAGTGTGCTCCCAATTCAGTTGGCAGTTTTTGTAAATAGCTGTAATGGCTAACCACAGAAGACATGAGGTTCCAGTTCCTATATTCTTAATTGTCAAGACATTTCCACTAGAGACAACATTAGCTACATTCAATCTGTCAAGTCTTCTGTCAGCAAAAGATAAAGCTATATTTCATCACACTCTGTGTAATGATTGAGTTTCTGGACGCTCAAAGCATTTATGTCAATCATACCTGAATGATGAACACTGAGAAAAATTCTTAACATAACTGTATCCATCAGCTGTAGTTTCTCATTGTTATTGTCAAACTGCAGCAGTCCCTCCCACACCGCTTCCATCTTTCCATTCTGTGGAATGGAAATCTGTAACTGTTTGTGATATAGAAACACTGTTTTTTTGGACCTTGCTGATCTTTTTTGGCACTATTTTATCATCTGCTTATCTTGCTTAATATATTTGCAAGTCACAGCACCTACTGGGGTTGATTTTAAGCAAGAGATCACATGGACCACTCAGCTAAGTTCCCAATGTTCCCAAGCCACGCATCTGCAATTCTTTCCACCGAAGCACAGACCTGACACTCTTTCATGAACTCATACAATTACCTTTTAAACATCCACTCCACTGTCAAATTTGGCTGAACTAGTCAATGAGTTCGAAAATTATCACAAGTGATGTCAAAAGACTATGCACTGGAATAATACAGTAAAAAAAATTAATTTAAGGGAGTATTTAGAGGGAGGATGGTGCACAATCAAGAGGCACAGAACTACATCAGTATAAAAAGCTAGACAGCCTGAATATGTACGTAATGACTTGAGATTAGGAACCACAAGTGCAAATTATTTAGGTGAAAAATTCAGAACTAATCAAAGGTAGTATAAAACAGTAGAAAGCTGAGCAAGTATCAGACCCACTCTTGTGGGTTATCTCTTTGACTACACAAAGCAAGAAATTAGTATTTGAAATTCACCTGATTCTTTTGACTTTAAGGCCTCTTTGATTTGCTGTTTTATTTTCATTGCTTCCTCTGCAGTCAAGTCCCCTTTTTTCAGTGTCACAACTTGAGGCTGCTCGTCTTCCTTGTCACTGCCATTGTCACTGTCATCATCTGCAAGTGGAAGCTGTTCTCTCTGGAGAAGAGAGAAATAAAAGCCATTCTGATCATCACTCCAGTTGTGGGCCAGTTCCCTTTGGTTTCACTTTTGCAGAAAGGTTAGTGAGGAGACTTGGCACAGCTGCCTGTTCCAGGCCCTCCCAATGTGTTGCCTCTCCAACAGATCAATCTCAAATTCTATCACTGAGACATCTCAAATTCTATCACTGAGATATGGTTTCCCATTGAAAACACCAGCTTGGGAATATGGGCTCCATCAATTAGAGACCAGAACAGCAGGAACTTGAAAAGCAAGGAATTAATTAATTTTCTTCACCATCTTGACTATGCAGCCACTGTCTGCTATACAACACTAAAAGAAGCTTTAAATGCATGGGTCCAAATTTGAACCTTCTATGCTGCAGTCAAAACAGCACGAAGAGAAATGTTGGTCCATGGTGGCTGGATTATTAAACCTGGCTAAACAAATCACTGTAAGCAGCACTGACACATGGAAGATCATACTCCTGTTTCTACTCTCAAAAATGTGTACTGGGACAGGAGAATCAACTGGGGTAATTTTTTATTTTTTTTAAATAAAGATTCTGGAAAGGAAACCTTAGTGCAGCAACCTGAAGTCTGGCAATATTAGAGGACCTGAAAACTTTGTTTTGTAAGGGAAAGTATAAGCAGTATTATTGTCATCTACTGAATATATATATAATGATAAGCTGATTTCTTAAGGTACCCTGTAAAATCGTACTTAGAGGGAAACACACACAAAATCACATTAGAAGCAGAAAAAACCTGTGCCTTAGGAAAGGCTGCTTTTTAACAAGCCGGCTCAGACTCTGCTTTTGCAGCCATCGCAACACGGTTCATGACCAGGGACCTACAGCATGTTTTGGGTTGGGTGGCACCTTAAAGATCCAACCCCCTTGCCGTGGACAAGGGCACCTCCCACTAGGGCAGATTGCTCAGAGTCCCATCCGAGCTGCCCTTGAGCAGTTCCAAGGATGGGCCACGCACAATGTCCCAAGGCAGCCTGTCTCACCACCCTCACAGTCAAGAATTTTTTTCTGCATATCTAACCTAAATTTCCCCCTCTTTCAGTTCGAACCCATATTAACTCCTTTCCAATAAAAAAAATTAGGGTACTTCTAGAAGAGTTTTTGCACGCCGCCCCCTCCTCCACCGCCCTGGGCTTTTTAAAGTCCAGTTGAAGTTTGGAGATCACGGCTGCTCCCCCCCGTGCCCCCACAGCCCCCTCGGGCACCGCGAGGCTGAGGCGGCTGCTCCGCAAGGCCGCCACAGCAGCCTTGCAGAAAAAAAACACAGAAGGAAAATCAAGTCACACAGACGATTTCAGTCAGTTTTAAGTGAGTAAACTGCGGCTCCCCCCTTTCATTACAAAACCCTGGAATGCTGTTTCCCCGCCGCTCGCCACGCGAGAAGGCAGGGGGCGGGGATGGGCGGGCATAAAGGCTCGGGAAGCGCCAGGAAGCGGGCGCTGCCCCTTCCCACCCGCGGGCCAGGGTTTTACCTTGGTGTCCACCGTGGGACCCTCCCGGTACCCGACCCGCCGCTTGAAGCGGCTGAGGAAGGCGGGCTCGGCCGGCCGCACGTAGGAGACCTGGTTCCTCTTGCTCATGGCCGCC